AAAAGCGATTGATTTTCTAATCTGAGGGATCTAGATGCAGAACAGGGAAACAAAAGTTCTTGGATGGAGAGTCGGGCCAGACCATGCAGAGATTTCAATCTGGAGAATATCACTTTAAATTCAGGAGTCAGTGTAATGCAGCCAGGGCCACAGTAACGTGTGCCTTGCATCGAATGTTTGTCAATCAACGGTAAACGGGCATTCGCTGCAACCTTGAGACAAATGAATGATGAGTGTTCTGGATAAGTTGTTCAGCTACGTTTTTGGGAAGGATTGGTTTTTACTTTGGTAGTAATTCTAATTTGTAGATAGCAGGATTGAGTCGGACTCTACTGATCAGTATTGCAAGTACAGATAGTATTTACTATGATATTTTTATTCGTGTGATTAGAATGTTATTACGGTATGAAAATGTAGAAATGTTGTCCTTATTTTTAGCTCCCTTTGTAAGACAGTAGAAACAACGTTGCATGTTGACCAGGCTTTGAGTCTTGCAAATGCAGCACAACACTGCCATCTGCCTACACGTAGGAATTACAGCATACAGAGTTAATGACAGTACATTTATACTTTCGACACATTTTTTTCCTTTTTTTCTGAGGACGAATAAATCTTCTTGCTCCAGAAATTTTTTATAAAAAAGTTGAGGTGCCCTTTGTCATCTTAAATATTTTTCTGTTCTGTTGGCAGAGCGTGAACTGTTGACACTGCAGTGTCTCGAGGACCTGGACATTCAGGAAGATCAGAACGCCGTGTTTGTCTGTGAGATCTCTGTGGAGGATGTGCCGGGGGAATGGTACAAAAATGGGGAGCGGATACAACCCACCAGCACCATCAAGATCCGCCAGGAAGGTCAGCTTTAAACCTATTCAGCTTTTTAATACTGTAACAATACAGAGGCTTGAATTAAATATGTAAACCAATATCATATAAGACCTAAAGAGAAAGGAGATATCTATAAAGATTATGTAAAAAACAATATGTAATTGCATATTTTTAGCCAGTAGAATGAATTAAATTATTATCTGTCTTATTAAAAACATCTAAATAAGTAATTAGGGTCCGAGCACACCAGTGCAAGGACCCTATTGTAACCGTTGTGATTATTATTATTATTATTATTAGGGTCCGAGCAACCAAAAGGGTGCGAAGACATTTGGCAGGCACAAACTACAGGACGTGGTGACTAAAAGTTCTTCAAGATGAGGCCCGGTTGGGAAATGGTGGGCTGTCCAATTTCGATCAATGGCCATTTTGTCCATTTTCGCAGTGTTTTTTGCATTCAACTGACTCTTGTTGGATGGTTGTTTCACCTACACTGACAAGATTGGTGGGCATGTGTAGCAGGTCAGGACGCACAAAAAAGTCAATCAGCACCAAGCCCTAACCCCAACAGGAAGTCC